CAACTGGCAACACTTGGATATGTAACAGAAGGGTCGCTAGGAGTTAGCACACATCCCAGCTTATACTGTTTTCCTAATCTGGGTCAAATACCCCCCCACACACACCATATGCCCTCATGTCCGCATCCATTTCCTCTTGAATCAGTTTCATCCTCATGCTCCCAGATGCAAAACCAAATGAATACTTTAAGATAGCTTTAAGAAGACTCCGGACTTGAGGCAGCATCTCCAGTATCCTCTGTCTCTAATTTCACTTCTCATATGCATATGTAAATGACTGTTAAAATAGAAATACAGCCAAAAGATCAAGCTGCAAACTTCATGGTAAGCAAGGCCCTGGCATGCAGTGGCCTTCAACATCTTCTCTAATGACCGCTCACTGGAACTTCAGGACGCAACGTGATTGTGTAACACTGATGAGCTGGCAGACAAAGGCATGCTTACAAAGGAATCTTTGGTAGGCCAAGCCCTGAGTTTGAGGTCTTTCTCCCTGGCAGCAGCAGACGTTTTCCCTAACACCTAAAGAAGAATGCAAGCATCTGCAGGCAGTCACCATGCAGCTTTAGACGTCAACATTATAGAAGGAACCCAGACCTGGATCCAGGCTCTACATGAGTTCTTGCCAGGAAATGGTTCTCAGCTACTTTGTTTTAACACCTTTGCCCCTTTAACTCTCTAAAACCACAGTTAGGGAAGTAAAAAAACACCTATTAATGCCTCTGTGAATCTGCATGTGTTTGCAATTCTGGATTGGTATGTGAAAACAGACTTGGCTATTTATCTTCCAGTTGAGTGACTGGCCCATCTTACCGGATTGACTTTTCAACGCTAAGCCGTTAGAAGATGCCCACACAGAGACACACACACATACATAATGGATATAAGCACACACAGACACACACATATAAATATACTGAGTCTCCCCACGCCCTCTCTCAGCACAGAAAACCCTCCAGCCACACTTCTCAGGAGACCTGAGACTTCTTGATCAACAGTGGGTTGGTGGTCTGCCAACTCCCTGGCAATGTACACACTGACCTGGAAGTCTTAAGGCACATTTGAGGTATTCTCTGCCTTTTGCTTAGTGTCATGACTGTGACAGGAAAAGACAGTGCAGAGTTTCCTCCATCTTGTATTCTTATTGCAGTCATTAAACATTTAATTAGAATTTGGTCTCCTTGATGGTGAGCTCCATGGAAAATTACCCAACTCTATTCTAGGAACCCGAGGTCAAGATACCCCAGCTACCTTAGCTTCTGTTAAACTGCCTGCTTGTGCAGGACTCCCTAGAGCTAACTGCTTATCTCAGTTTCTGCTAAACTGCTTGCTTGCATAAAACCTCCCCCTGCAGCTGCTAAGCAAATTACCAGGATGTGTTTTTTGCTTTTGAAAACCCCTTACCCTAAACATTTGGAGATACAGTTGGGCCCCAAATACCTAAGTGTAGTCACAGCCTGGAATAAAGATTTTCAATCAGCTATAAACTGTATCTGAGTCATTATCTCTAGTGAGCAACCTATAACAATGAATATGAGGATGAAGGAAATATCATTTGAAAAATATACTTGCTGGGCAGTGGTACTGGACACCTTTAATCCCAGCACTTGGGAGGCAAAGGTAGGTAGATCTCTGTCTGAGGCCAGCCTGGTCTACAAAAATGAGTTCCAGGACAGTCAGGACTGTTAAACAGGGAAACCTTGCCTTGAAAAACCATTTTATATATACACACATACACATATGTATATATACATATATTAATATATACATATATGTTATAAGTATATACACATTATATATTCTACACACTCAAATATGTATATACTAAAACAAAGGCAACAATCTAGAATGTATTGCTTATTTGGAGTCTCCTCCTACAAAACAGAATTCTCTTTGAACCTCTGGTCTTTGTGCTAATATAAAAATTTGCAAACCAAAGGAGAGAGAGCAAGGAACTCAGGACTGCGAGGGGGGCACCCACACACTGAGACAATGGGGATGTTCTATCGGGAACTCACCAAGGCCAGCTGGCCTGGATATGAAAAGGCCTGGGACTCGCTGAACATAGCGGACAATGAGGACTACTGAGAACTCAAGAACAATGGCAATGGGTTTTTGATCCTACTGCACGAACTGGCTTTGTGGGAGCCTAGGCAGTTTGGATGCTCACCTTACTAGACCTGGATGGAGGTGGGTGGTCCTTGGACTTCCCACAGGGCAGGGAATCCTGATTGCTCTTTGGGCTGACGAGGGAGGGGGACTTGATTGGGGGAGGGGGAGGGAAATGGGAGGCGGTGGCGGGGAAGAGACAGAAATCTTTAATAAATAAATAAATTTAAAAAAATTTGCAAAAAAAAAATTTGCAAACCTACCCAAACGGTTATAATGCTACCACAGCATCTGTACATTTAAGTGACATTAACAATGTTGATGAGCACAGGTCTGCTGCTTTGCAGCATGTGCCTTCATTTGGACTTTTCTTACACTCTTCAGAATGATGGTTTTTAATGTAAAAGTATGACAACTGATGCCACTGGCATGTGTGATCGTAGCTAATTAGCATCTTAAGCCACACTGTTTTAGCATAAATACTAAACATTTACAGGCCTTCCATTTCAAATTGTTGCCACCATCTTATTCTCCAGGGTATCCTTAAAGTCGATGCTTATCTTTCTCATGCATTAACCTCTTTTCTCCAATATCAGGGATGCCCTCCATATTCTGTAAGGAAAGATATTAACAGACTATGCAGGCTCCAGGGTTCACATGGACGGTTCTGCATTAGATCTTGATAAATGCACAGGATTTTGCCAGAAAGAGAGGAAGGACCAGGAATTCATTAACCACTGGGACAGTAAGTATACTCAGGAAAGCATTCTCTAAATGCTCCACTACTAAGGGGTAATCTATTTAGTATCTAACACTAACATAGTATATACTGTCAGAAGATAGTAATTCAGTCAGGAAGAGGTGACAAAGAATGAAAACAAGCAGGGAAGCGTCAGCTAGAAAAGATCCAGACCATGGGGTGGTGGGGAGACATAAAGAAAGGGGAAACAGAGGTCAACTATACCAGCAGGAAGGCAGTTCAAGTACCCCTGCTGACATCAAATTGCCAGACATGTAAAGAACAGTATTTGATCTAATACGACTGGAGATCTAGGTCAAAGGGTCAGAGTGCTCGCTCTGCGATCGTGGGCACCTGAGTTCAAATCTCCAGCACTCACGTAAAAAGCCAAGCATGTCTGTAGATGTCTGTAAACCCCAGCAAGTTCCAGTTCTGTGAGGCAAACTGTTTCGAAGCAATAACATGAAGAGGAACCAAACAAGACACAAAGTCCTACTCTGGCCTCCTTATGTAAACACAGCCAGCCCTAGGCACACACCACACAGCATACACTGCCAACATGATGATTCCCCAAGAAAAACTATCAAAATGCATGTATGTTCTCAACCAGGCAATGTTACTGAAACTACTCATGGCTAGCATTGGAAATTAAGGTTTCCAAGCCCCTTTCCTCTAGCTACCGTGCACAGAGCTGCTTGTGGCTCACAAGTGCTTCCTGGAGCCTCCTTCACCTTGTTTCCTCTTATTCCTGGGACACTAATCCCCAGAGCTCCAAGGTCAGCAAGATCAGGGGCTGCCACAGGCTCAAGGCCAAACAGAAACCCACCAGTCATAAAGACCATGGCTTCCACATCTGGAAAAGATGACTTTAATAGAAAAAGTTCTAACTAAAATAATGGATGTACATACCTACTAACATATGTGATACATCAATAATACTCATATATATCTTTTGTTGAATTATATATAAAACCACTCTTCCGAAGTATATCTCTCTATCCTCCTCCCTATTTATTAGCTTATTGGATACATGGTTCTGACAAACAAATTAGGTGGAATTTTAATGACTAATCTCCAGCTCTCTACCAACCAATATAGGAAGGAAAGTGTATCCACAGAAATGGCAATTCTTCACAAAAGAATCCAGTTTCTTCAATTCGCTGATATCGTGCCTTCCCACCAGGACCCCCACAGCCTTCAAGCACAAAAGCTTCTTGTCACATCTAATTTTAACCAGTCATCATGATATAACTAAGAAACTTTAAAACAATCAGCAGGGCCTAGGCAGGAGCCAGCCTAAATTCTTCACATTTTTCTTATTGTTTTCCTGCAAAAACACAGGCAGAGAAGGCGATAATCAAGAAAACAGTCAGTGAATCGTTACCAGACCATGTGTGTGTGTGTGTGTGTGTGTGTGTGTGTGTGTGTGTGTGTAGGAGCTCCTTCAAGAATTAAGATTTTGTTATCTTCCTGTTTTAGACTTTCCCTTTTTTCTACAAAAGGGTAGGATCAGTTAAGTGGCCACTATTGATTGTCAAGAATTATAAAACACATAAAATATATGAATACTAGATCCTGCCTGATGTGACATGAACATGTGAATTCTACAGATCTCATGAGTGGGCTTGGAAGGGCTGGGATCATTCTTGCATGGTTCTCCCGGTAACAAACACTGTCTGGCTTTGGCATGAGTCCTCTTCGGAGAGCGTTGGTTTACAACTAGCCAGTGCTGGATTAACACTGGAAGAGGCACCTTGTTATGAAAGTGCTATTTCCTCTTGAAAGGCCTCCGTTCCCCTCTTCCCCACTGAAAGGGGCCCGCAGTGAAGCACCAAGAAGAGGAAATGTAATTAAAATCACATTCCCCTCCTGGGCTCAACTAAATTATCAGCCTCTTACCCCAGAACAAATTTACCCCTGTAAGACTGAAGGACTGTATCCCTCTTGGGAAAAAATACAAACAATGATTAAAATGCCATCTGAACATGGTTGGAATTTTTCGTGCTCAAGGAACCTCTGAGTGGAATGAAGTCAATGTGTTCTCACTGACGCAGAATACACACTGCGGCAAAGAACTGTGATAAACGGCATTGCCGTGACCCTCAGGTTACAGCGAAGGAATATTGGAAAATAAATCTCAATTGTGGATACTCACCAATCCTGCAATGGGGGTAGGCAATCTATTGATCTTTTTAACAAGTCCTGGCTTTATAGCATTCAGCAACCTGTCGTGAAAAAGGCAGAATGTCAAGTGAGACGTCAAACAAGATGGATCGCACAAATCACCTGCATCCCGGGCTGTGGCTAAACTGCTGACTAGGAAAACCTGGGAATTTAAAGCAAGCCGTAAATCTCAATCATCCGTCAGTCTCCCCGGGTAAGGAAAGAGCTCTGCCAACATGGAGTTTGTTGACAGCAGGTGGAGTCACAGAGTGGAAAGTTAGGAGAGGAGAAAGGAAAGATGCAGAGAGTGCTTCGTGGGAACAGACAAAGACGTGAGGGAGGCGGAGGCTAGGAGAGAACTGTCTGGAATCAGAGCCATGTACCGCAACCCAGGTTGAGGCAAGCTGCCAGTTCTCCTGGCTCAGGCAAGGATGTCTCTGGGGATGGACTAGGTTCAGAGACCAACACAGATCTTTGCAGATGATCTGCCAAGACAAATTTTGTCTCCAGACCCTATTTGTACTTTGAGGAGAGCGGCTCGCTAGATGTGGCAGAGCTTCATTTAAAAATGGAAGAGTGGACTTTCTAAGAGGGTAACCAATCCCATCCTGAAGATCCGAAACAAGGTTGACCACCATTCCCTAGGTACCAAAAAAGAATCACTTAAGCAAGAGAGTTTTCAGGGAGATCTTAAACACATGTGAAAATGGAAGTGCAAGCAAGGGGGTGCCAGAGTAACTGAGCTGTGGTCTGTACATAAACAGTGTGAAGAACAGAAGAATGGCTAGCATGCTGTAAAACGAGAACGTGGCCAGCGTCAGAGAGAAGGTAGAGTGCAGCGTTTGCTCCACTCTAGTAGGGTGCTCATAAGGACTAGCTAGCTGGCAGTAAGGGACTGTAGAAAGGAAGTACTTACTTAAGACTTAGACAGCTAGAGGATTTACCTCAGAATACTATGTAAAGAGAAATCTGAAGTTTACTAAAACTCAAGGGTCCACAAACCGCAAAGCCACGGGCCGAGGGTATCCAGCACCTGTTTTGCGAAAGAGGTTTTACTGGCACACAGCCGCAGCCAAGCCCGCTTGTGAAGATTAGCCCACAGCTCCTCTTGTCTACAGCCTCAGTGTTCAGTGAGCAGCGAGAGAACATGTGGCCTACAAAGTGGGTGATGTCCCCTCTGTGGCCCTTTATAGGAAAGGTTTGCCGACTTCTGCTCTCCGCCCTGCAATCCAAGACCCCAGTAAAGGCTCCAGGCCCCACTGAGAGATTCCACAGGTGACTAACAGATTCTCAGACACTCCGCATGGATGGAGACAGCATAGCAGTGGGATAGGACGCTCTGCTTCTGTACCAAAGCTCAGCGCCAGCTCTCAGGACATGTCATTCATTACAAGGCACACACACTGCTCCAGCACGTAACGGTCAGAGCAGGCATGGGACACTTCGTTCACCGAAGCCAAGGTGGCTACTCTTTTCCACTAACCAGGTTGGTTTAGCCATGCCTTTAACCCTTTTGGAAAAGTACTTCTATAAAACCTATGCTTGGGTTGTTGGCATTTTGAGTTGGAGGTAACTTCTCATTTTACTGCATAGAAAGCGAGGTCTGGTATGGCTGAGTCACTTCCCCAGAGATGCTCAGAGGTCCTGCTAGGTAGACCCAGTACCCATGTGACCTAGGTCAGTATGTTCTTTTAGATGGTATTAAAATTCCCTATCCTTTGGCTTAAAATACACAGAAGATTTCCAAAGGGAAAAAAGAACAGAATTTTTAAAATTAATTTGTTTTAATTAATTTTCATACAATATATTTTGATCTTATCTTTCCAGAACCTTCCTAGTTCCCTACCCATTGAATATTGTGTTCTCTCTCTCTCTCTCTCTCTCTCTCTCTCTCTCTCTCTCTCTCAAATAAAAAAAAGCAAAAACCTGCACAGCAAAAAAAACAAAAAATCAAAACAAACAAGCAAAATACCAATAAGATAAAAAATACCAAAACAAAAGAAAAAGTCTATAAAAGGGGAGGATGTGGGGACTTCTCTGGACTGTGGTTGATGTAACTAGTACCACTCCATTGGAGAAAACTGATTTTCTCTTAGCCAGCAGGTATCAACTGCAAACAGCTTCTTAGTTAGGGGTGGGACTCCAAGACCACCTTCTCTTGCTAGTACTGGGATCCTCTCTGACTCAAACCTATGCAGGTCCTGGGCATGTTCCCATAGCATCTGTGAGTTCATCTGTGCATTGGTGCTGTAGTGTCTGGAGGAGTCTATTTCCTGGGTGACATCCTGGCTCTTGCAGCTTTTCCTTCTGCTCTTCTCCATAGACCCCTAAGCCTTGAAGGAAGGGGTTTGTTGAAGATGTCCCATTTCGGTTGAGCAATCCCATGTCTCTCACTCACTGTACAACTGAATGGATAGAATTCTTAGCATGTATTCTTTTTCCTGGTAGCTCCTCATCATGTAATTTAAAAGAGAACTATAAAACATCTGTGTACAATCTTGACAATTCAAAGGAAAACAAAGGGATATGTAGCAAAGTGTAGATCACTTGCTGTTCCTATGCTCCCATGGGGCCACAGTCTAGTCCCTAAAGACAATGTGAAGAATTGCCAACGAAAAAACTTAAGTACACATAATTCTTGGTTTTGGTTTTGGTTTTTGTTGTTGTTGTTGTTGTTTCTTGATACACAGTTTCTCTGTGTAACAGTCCTGGCTGTCCTGGAACTAGCTCTTGTAGTGCCCTTGAACTCACAAAGATCGCCTATCTCTGCCTCCTGAGTATTGAATTAAAGGTGTGTGCACCACCACCACCACCAGGCAAGTACACATAATTTTTAAAAGGGCAAATATACTATACCATAGCATACCACACCACACCGTAATACACTATCCTGCTCCTTGTCTTAGCGAAGCAGCCGTCCCTCAGTACCCACAGGGGATTATTTCCAGGTTCCCTTTTAGTACCAAATCTCCAGGCTCTCTAGTCCTTTCTATAAAATGGTGTCGTTTCTGCATTCTATGAACACAGAGGAGTGACTGTCTGTCCTGGAGGTTGGAAACCTACCTTGGAGAGCATGTCTTACCAATGCATATGGAAGCTATATCCTTACTAATAACCACAGAGGATACTGGAGAACTCATGGGGAAGCATTCATTCTGAGGACTGCCTGACTCCAAGCCCCAGCTGAGTCCTTTTCTAGTGGTGGTCCAGACATGGCTGTTAGCCTGTTTTATCAACTGTAATGCAGGTTCAAAAGCAGCTTTAAAGAGATGAGGTTTGGAGAAGCTAGCAGAGTTCAGCCCATACACTCTCTATGAATACTTCCCCACGTTTTTGTGTAAGTTTTTTGCCATTGTAAATGGACTGAGAGCATTTTTTGATATATCATTTGTTTAAATAACTTTAGATTTAGTTAAAAACCAAATGACATAGCATTGCTAATAGGTTTTAAGCTATATTGCTAACTGATGAAAGTAGGCAAAAAAAAAACAACTCTCCTCCATAATATATTGGCTAAAAATTCTTTTCAAAGGGCATCCTTTGTCTTCTGCATCCAAGGGACTCATTGATATTGTAGTAATGATGGCTCTACTCACCCATCTTTTATAAACTCATCATTGCATTCATTCTTCATAAAGTGTCCTGATGACAGACACTTCCCTATCCCATGAAGATGTCAAAAAAGTAAAGAAACAAAGCAAACCATAACATGGTACTTTACTGAAAGTGGTGGTGGAAAACTACAACCTCTCTCAAAACGTTTCGCTAAAAACCAAGAAAACAGAAGGACATGTTGCTCTCTCACATTGAGGACATTTTCAGGACGGCACAGCTGTGTTTTCCCATGTAAACAGTCTCTTGGCTCTGTACAGAATTTACAGTATACCACGACAAAAGTAACATCAAATTCACATTACCCAGAACCTGGATTTTATCTTGTATTTTGCCTTAAACTGAGGAAAAGTTTCTGTTTACTAAGAAACAAAGAGACAAGCAACAACAACCATGAGGAAGATTATTCATCTATAATTTTACTTAAAGCCACAATTGCTTCCCATCCATGTAAATTGATGAATGACAGGTTATTCAGTGACAGGAATGGTGATATTTTATATTTATGTCCCTTCTGAGGTGCATTATTACCCAAAAGCCTTGTTCTAAAAAAGAAGTTATATGTATGTTCCACCATGTCTGTAAAATGAAAAACTAAGTACCAATCAGACATCCCAAGATACACAGCTGGTAATATGACCAGTTCAACCCTTACCTTTTGGGTAGTTATTTATGATACAGGTTGCTGTTTTAGAAAGACCAGCTTCAGGCTGGAGAGATAGCTTGGTGGTTAAAAGGACCAACTGCTCTTCCAGAGGACCTGAACTCAATTCCCAGCATCCACAAGGTAGCTCATGACTATCTGTAACTCTATTGCCAGAGGATCCGACACCCCCACATAGACATATATATAGGCAAAATGCCAGTGTACCTAAATAAATTAAAAAAGAATGCTTTCCAAGAGAGCTACGGCAGAAGGGAAGGAAAGGGAAGAGGAGGGGAGAGGAAGAGCAAGGAGTAGAGGGGAAGGGACAGAAAGGGAGAAGAAAGGATGAAAGGAAGGAAGGAGAGGAGGGGAGAGAAGAGAGGAGGAGGAGGAAGAGGAGAGAGAGAGAGAGAGAGAGAGAGAGAGAGAGAGAGAGAGAGAGCACAGCTTCAAAGCACAACAAAGAACAGTGTGTCAAAATATCATGGGGGTAAAGGCCAGCCACAGTGGCACATGCCTTTAGTCCCAGCACATCCATATAGTGGTAACATCTGTAAGAATGAACAGAACTAGAAACAACTATCTATTAAGGGGATGGAACAAGGAAGACATGTCATGTTCTTGCTCAGTCTACGGATGTTGGTCTACGACATCATGACCAGGAATTCCAGACGTGGCAAAATGTCTTTCCTCCAGGAATACTATACTATTGTCCTGCCTATGAGATATCCTTTCCAAAGCCTTTACCTAGACGGTCTTGGAGGTTGTTTACTCTGTCAGGTAACAAATCACCTTTGTAGTCAT